CATTTTTAGATGTCTAGAAATTTTTAAGTACAGACCTGTGTCAAGTATTACAGATAAATGTCTAGAGATTTGTATTCTCATTTGTCAATGCTTAGATTTGTATTGTACAGTAAACTGCTACAATGTTGAACAAATATTTGTAGATGTCTAGAAACTGTTTCACAAATGACTTCAGTTTCTATTCCTGTGTATAAGCCATTAGCCTTGTAAATAAACATAAAAACACAGACACAGTACATTGCTCTGTGTCTGACCTGGTGCATGCTGGTTTATTTGTGATAGATCTTTTTCTGCGTTCAACATCAATCATGCTAAACATTGAGTCCCGTCTGCGTCACAAATTGGAATGTGCGTTTAAGGTCGCCACCGGTCCCCCATAGCTTCTCTTGCAATGTAGCTCTCTTTGGCTAGATCTAGTCTTTGCTGGAAGAAGTTAGGGCAGTACTGCAGTATGTGCTCAGAGGTCTGTCTTTCTGCTCCACAATCACAGGCAGCAAATTCTTTTATGCATACCCTGTGCAGGTGTGCTTGAAGACCACAGTGTCCAATTCAAAATCCAAAAATTGATGCCTGTTCTTTCCTGTTGAGTCTGTTTTTGCTGTCACTCTTTGGTCTGTAATCTCCACTTCCGCCCGAAAGACTGCTCCAGCGCTGTTTTGGCCTCCCTGTAGCTGTTTGGCAGATGAGGCCGCAGAAGATCACTACCAGCTTTTGCTAACTCATCCGCTTCCTTATATCCCTGAACACCACAGTGGGCCAGCATTCACCACAAGACCCCCCCCCCCCAAGTAAGCCAATGTTGGTCCTTGGATCTGCAATTTGTCTTTTTTGCTTGGAGAACAGACATTGAGTCACCAAGTAAAACAATTCCATGCCCTTTGCGCTCTTGAGTGATGAGATGTTGGACTGCAAAAAGGACGCAGTTGCCTCAGCTCTGAAGTTAGTGCAGACGTCACCTCTTGGTAGAGAGTTTCTGCTCTACTGCTAGGGGGTTTATGTATGTTCCACAGCTCCTCTTTCTGACTGCATCTGTAGCAGAGCCGTCAGTAAAAACCTGAGTCCAAGTGGTGCTGGGTTACTTCTCGTCAAGCACAGCAAGAGCCAGGGTTCTCTGCGGTGTCTCTGTCTGGGCATCTTTTGAAGATATTCCCGGTACCTTTAGGACTACATTTGCCTTCTTTGGCTTGCTTGTCCATGGTTCTGGACTAAGCTTTTCGCACATTTCAACATCTCTTTCAAGCAGATCCTAGTGCTGTCTGTACAGTTCTCTAGCAAGGTGGTTGGGGCTACGATGCCTCAGTCTGTCCCTTGTTCTCTCTTGAAACTCAAAATTCAGTGGGTGACCCTGAAGTCTTTCCAATTCCTCATACTGAAAGAGAGTTTTGTGTTGTCTGAGTTCAAGTGGTTCAATATCAGCTATCCTATCTCTCTGATGGGGGTGGTTTTCATGGCTCCAAGAACATGTGATGGGTACAGAACACTTCTCTTTTGTTAATTCCTATTCTGCTCCATGAAAACTCTGCTACCTGCTTCAGGAGACACAGAACAGGAAGCCATCAGCAGACTAACTAGCCAGGAGGTTGTTGTGTGCTAAATTGAGTCAGCACACTACAAGTGTCTAGCAGGTACTCTTCAGCTTCCTTTCTTAACAAGACAACTCGACGACGATGACACCGTCATACAAGTTTATTTAACAGGATACATGACACAAATGCAGAGACGTAGTTATTGATCACAGCTGACATTCGCACATCGTTCATTTGTCCTCACAGCTCTCTATCTCTCAATGTGTAGTGACCTCTCCTGGACTACTGCAGATACCAGGATGACGGCGTCCCACACTCTGGACGCGTCGTACAGCTGAACAGGACAACTTCTCCCATTCACTGGACCTTGATATTAATTCAGCATACAACACGGCTGGCTGGAGACGGACTTCTCTTGCCGTACTCCGAAACCAGACACTACTGGTCTTCCCGTCCCCTGGACTTACTTTGCCAGCGGGACCATATTTTCCATACCGCAATTCCGACACTTACTCGGACCTAAATGCCCGATAGTCGGTCGTACGGTATGTTTGTCTGTTAGACTCGCGAGATTACCTGGACCCTGACTTGGTCTCTGACTCTCGCTTCTCTCGGCTGATCCCTCGTGCTGCGTGTGATACACCAACAATTCATCACCGCTTCTTGGTTGATCCCTCGTGCTGGGTGTATACTACACCCACACTTCATCAATGCCCTTAGCCCTGTGGCTACATCTCTCTCTCTCTGTCTACTGCCCCCGAGGGGCTTTAGCCCTCAGGCTACAGCTCACCCTCTGGACTGTCTACGCAGCCCAATTTATATATGTCGAATCCGTGTAAGTGGATGGTGATTACACGAGAGGCACGCTTGTGTGGGCGTTCTCGTGAATCATGATCCTGTGGGTGTTGTCGGGACTCGCTCATGTGAGCGTTCCCGAGGATCACGCTTAGGTGGGTGGCTGATGTTACCCGAGAATCACGCTGTCACTTAATTCACACTTTATCTAGTTATCCACGCTTTCAGCCCACCACACAGAAACCCACGCGTCCACTTTCTCTCGTGCATGCACGCTTTGTTCACGAATAGACGTTTTCACTGGTCTCCTCTTAATACTCTGATCATATTGACACTCTTTCCTCGTGAACTTACAGGAAGTACAGGCATACCGTTGTCCCTTCCCACAATATCACACTTAACCCAAATCAGCGCGCAACAGAGGTGGGCGGTGTACAGAGTGCATGTACAATGGTTACTGATAAAAGTGAGGAAACAAATTTAGAATCACCACACAGGCACTCTGGTGGTGAAACAACTGCACAGGATAGACCAGAATGGAAAAAATAAACTGTGAGCCATATGTGATGTATAATGGCAAATGGGATGATAAATAACTATCGGCAAAGTAATCACATATATCATCATAATCATCACTGTCCCGTAACACTGGCTGTTGACTGTCTGATCAGCTCCTTCCACCGTCCATGGTCAGATGAAGTGGACTTTATGGTTGCATGCCTAAGGCCTGTCCAGTCAGTCAAGTCCTGTATCCAGATCTTTCTTATGGTCTGTCTCTTCTCCTCTACTGAGCCCTGAAGTACTGGTCTGCCTCTTCTCCTCTACTGAGCCCTGAAGTATTGGTCTGCCTCTTCTCCTCCACTGAGCCCTGAAGTACTTGTCTGCCTCTTCTCCTCCACTGAGCCCTGAAGTACTGGTCTGCCTCTTTTCCACTGAGCCCTGAAGTACTGGTCTGCCTCTTCTCCTCTACTGAGCCCTGAAGTACTGGTCTGCCTCTTCTCCTCTACTGAGCCCTGAAGTTCTCCTCCACTGAGCCCTGAAGTACTGGTCTGCCTCTTCTCCTCTACTGAGCCCTGAAGTTCTCCACTGAGCCCTGAAGTAATCTATAACAAAACATAAAAACTCTGAATACATCTGTAATACACAATTTGTTTATTCCAGACTAGTACGCTACAGCTGATACCTTGTGCCAGTGGTGAGGCCAAACCTGTCAAAGAGAAGACAATAAGATACATACAGGTACATACATACACAAAACAGGAATTCATAAATGTATAACAAATTCACATCATGGCACTCAGGACATTCTCATACAGGGTCTTACCATTAAACATGACAGGAGAGGAACAAACTGCCATCCATTGCTAGATGGGTAGCACTGGCTATTGTCATTTTATCATTCTGTGACAACATAAAACATGTCTTTAATGTCATCAAAACATCTGGTACGCCCTCATGCTTAATGCCACATCTTCTAAGGTGTAGCATCTGTGTTGGCAACTGTTGTGGCTGCATTTAAACAAGACGACTGAACCATTTTAAATTCTTCTTCTCTATGATTTTAGTACAGTTTTATTCCCACAGTCAGAGTATCATTTCTCGCTGTCTCGGATGGTTAAGTACAAGTAAATGAATACTACATACAGAGTCCACCAAAAAAAGTTTACATAAAAGAAGAAGTAAAGTTTATCAACCAAAAATATTCTGCTACCTGTGGTTGTGGAGCAGGCATACTCCTGAGCTTGTATTGCAGGTTGAGGATTTGGCCTAAGGGAACCCCACTGTGTGAGGAGGTGCGCTGATGAAGCTCCGCTGCATGGTTGCAGAGGTACAATCTTATGGGGAATGATCACTTACAATAGGAGTCAATTGGTGCACTACATTTTACTGGTTGATTTGTGTGCAGCTGGTTGCTCCCTGCTCAAGCAGATGTACACCGACTACACAGGAAGCTCCCGACAAGCTTGATGGCGAGACAGCGAGTCTAATCTTTTTTTTCCCATAATGTGGTCCAGGAACCCATATAAGGATGAAGAATGCTTGAATGCGAAACAATAATGAAATTCTTTGACCCCAGAACCTTCCATTTTGGCATTCCGAAAGGACTGTTTTGCAACAAGACAGTGCCGTACCCCATTCTGCACAGATGACCATGCAGTTTCTGCCAACAGTATTCTCGCCCTTCACTGTCTGCAAACATGAGTCTGACTGAACACCTGTGGGATGAGCTGCATAGACATTTTTGTCGCAGACACTCCGGGAAGACTGGGCAACCATCACACAAGCCCACATCAGAGGTCTAAACGCACCCATGCCCAGGAGATACCAGCCGCTGATGGAGGCAAGAGGATGCCAGACACCATACTAATGGGAAAGCCTGTACGCCTTAAAGTATTGTGACCCAGATGCAAAAGAACTGAACCCAAGGTATTTAAAAAAAAATTGCATATGAGCTGCTTTATGTGTAAAATACCTGCTTTATTACAAACAACCCTAAATCCATCTAAACCTGTCAGAAAAAAAATATTAAACTTCTTCCATGTTTGCTCGTAATATGACTGGATTGTGGTTTACAGCTAGGCAGCAATATCTCCACTATTCTGCACAACACCTCCGATTTCAGCAAATCCATAACTAGCCATCTTTTATGACAAGCTTGCTAGACAGTTCAAACCCTACCTATGCTGGTGCAGTGTCTATAACAGACGGTACAGGGTCTGTAGGTTTGCTGCTCCTGGCTTCACTGTATGGCTGTGCCGGAGCCACCTCGTCTTTAGGCTCAACAATGCTGACGTGATCAGGCAGAGGTTTTCGTGGTCCAGTCTTGCCAGTAGGGTCCCAGGCCAGCATGATCTTAACCTTGATTCCCAGAACACCTGCAGTCACAGACAAGCATGTCGTTAGATTTAAGCTGTAATTAGCACAAATAAGGAAATTAACTATGACTATGATACTGGAGACAAACTATGTTCAAGCATTAAGTAAAACACAAAATAACACTATCTGAGAAAAGCATGCCATGATATGCATGCATTAATTAATACAAACACAGAAAATCAAACACTGCTTCTAGAGATAAGCATGTTATTAAAGTATAGCTTACACCAAACATGGAAAATAAACGTTAACGAAGACAAACAATTCATTATAGTATAGCATTAATTAACACACGAGAAAATAATTCTGTACAGACACAGATAAGCATGTGGTTATTTTCAAGCATTGACTATCACTACAGAGAATAATACTGTACTTTTGTACAGTATGCTTGAGGTTTTCACTAGTGCCCCAATTTATCTTGTAGGGTTGCAACTTTGTGCCATACCTCTCTCTGACCAACAAATTCTGGACAATTTTATAAAACATACACTAGAGTTTGCTTTGGGGCAGCACCATTACATGTGGCACAGTCAGCGAGGCTAATTTGATATTAATTTATTATGAGCCTGGAGCCTGACGTAAATCTTGTAAATTACAAAATCTTAGTCGCTTCTCTTCCAGCTTGGGGTGTAGAGGTTTGACAGACTTCTCTATAGGAAATCTTCTTTTTGGTTTGTTCCATTCCAGCCCTAAGTCAGTCAGAGACTGTCAGATGTTGTCTTCCTAGTGGACCCTGGTTGTTAGCCTCCCATGGTGGCCAATTTTGATTTTCTCCCATTCAAAATTACATGATAATAACTATATATATACTCAAACTGGCCTGGACAAGAGCAGGACCCAAACATAACAGACAAATAAAAACTAACATAATTGACAAATATCTGTGCAATGTCACTACCTTGCCTCAACAATATGTGTCTGACTGCTGTATCTACGTAGTCGTTCATGGGGTCACCACTGTGAATCATCAGGCCGTCTGTGAATTTCATGGATTTTGCTCTCTGACCCCTCAATTTCCCAGACACCACAACTTCACAGCCCTTAGCTCCAGACTCCATAATGAACCGCAAAACACCGTAGCAAGCCCTGTGTACAAATGCCAGTTTAAATATTTGCAGGGGGACATAAAAAAGATAATGCATTAATACTTTCAATCTCATATACCTGTTATTTCAACACTGTCTTTCCTAACAATGTGCCTTAGAGCAACAACTGTGCATTCTTACTGAATTAAAAATTATTTTGGAACGGCAGTTATATTAACTCCTGGATATACTGGGGCACCTCGGTATACGTCCTTGATCCGCTCCAGATCATTGTACGTATACCAAACAATTTTTCCATAAAAAATAAAGGGAAAATGATTAATCCGCTCTCATTAAAAAAAAATGTAATTGTTATTGGCAAATTAATTAATTGATGGGGTTGTATAAAATAATTTAAACACTGCTCAATACCAGAATACATAAATACAAAAGCAATTCAATGAAATAAATGTAAGTTTCACGTCACTTTACCTAGCTGAGAAGAGTAATTTCCTTTTCTCTGATTTTCTTACATAAAACAATTAATTTGTAATGTCTTAATGACTAAACAACTTAATTCCCCAGAGATGCAATAACAATTTTCTCGAATGAGATGTATACACTATGCCCTTCAACATCTGCTAACTGTCTCGCAATACCAAGATCAAATTATATAAATGTTGATCAGACCAGTCGTGTTATATGGCTCTGAAACTTGGAGCACAATTAAAAGAGATGAAGCCTTATTACAGGTTTTTGAAAACAGAGTCTTACAACAAATCTTTGGATCCATCAAAGATACAAACCGTGGTGAATGGAGAGAGAGAAGCAACAACGAAATTTATAATCTGTTGAAATCACCACTGAACGCTGGCATTATGAGAGCTAATAGACTTAAATGGTTGGGACACATTGAAAGAATGTCAGAGAAGTAAAGACTGTATACACCAGGGAGATAAATGGTCGTAGACCACGAGGCAGACAAAGAAGACGATGGAGAGATAACATCCAGACAGACCTGCAAACACTTGGTGTCACCAAATGGAAAGAGAGAACCTGCCAGAGAGATGAATAGATACGGGTGATATCTGTAGCAATGAACCTCGAGGGCTCGGAATGCTGAAGAGGAAGGAGATGTATGCAGAGTGAACTATACTGAGGTAAACAAAGTGAAAAAACTAGAGTTTCTTTTTGGTTCACCAGCTGTAAACTCCGGCAGAAAGTTCTGATTATTTGTCCACTTCTGGACTCTAGTCCTATTCCAGAACCTAAGAATGCTGTATGCAAACTGTTGGTTAATTGCCTCACAGGCAGATGCACCCCGACTTTGACTTTTCCCACTGAGTCCCTCTTACCACATGTTTTTGGGCAGGCAGTGGGTCTTCTTGCTTTACCGCCTTCGGGCCCCAGAACCCACACGGGGGAATATAAATGATGATACCAAGACTTGTATTGTGTCAGATAGAGGTAGTTACTGACAGTATGAATATACAAATTTATAACAATTACCTTCTGACAGCCAGACCTCCAATAAGCTTGTATCGGAGAGACTCACATTGAGCGACTGCACAAAGCCCACGAGTAGCAACCTTCTCCGCATATAACTGTATCAGACAAAGCAAATGACATTCAAATTTCAAAAAAAAAAAAAAAAAAATAACAGGTGCAACAAATACAGAGAACAATACAACTAGAATGTTTATGCACTGGAACCCATGTAGGCATAGAAATAAAGGAAGACCAAAATACACAGAGAAGGGAGCTAGAGTGTGAAGTTAAAAAGATGGGGAGGACATGGGGAGAGCCTCAAGTGATGACGAAGGATAGAATAACTTGGCATGAGCTGGTTGAGGGCCTATGCTCCATTGGGGATTAGATAGACAGAAGGATGTACTAAAGGATCTAATTAAAACTAAAGGATCTGCACAAAACAAAAAAGATCCCTACCTCAACTGTGCCTTCAAGAAAACCAAATCTCTTCTGAACCACGGATGTCAACTCCCGAATACGACGACCCTTCTCTCCGAGAACATTCTGTGTGCGGGTGGCAAGGATAATAATCTCTGTACGTGTGGGGGTGACACGGTTCTCAACTCCGCTGTATCCATCCTCTGCCAGCTCCCTGGTGAGAAACTCATTCAACTCAGCCTTGAAGAGTCCATCTGCCACAATCTGTCAAATATTCACACAATAAAGACATCAAGCTTGGTTCTTTAGAAGATAAGATTTAGAGTCAATAGATGCACACACGACATTTAGGTTCTAAAACAGGACGGCAGTCCAGAAGTGGACGAACAACCAGAATTTTCCACCAGAGTTTACAGATGGTAAACGCAAAGAGACTACACTTGCCCACGGTCTCTTCACAGAAATTGGTTCACAATCAGCAGGGAGCTGACCATGGTAGATAAGGATCAATGTTTGAATTAAAGTCGTGCCTTTCCCAAGTGAGGTGAAGAACCAAGTCTGGGCAAAAGTCAGACATGTAAACTTGTGAAATAGATGAATTATCTTGTGTAAGATGCAACAGTCAAGTCCTTGAAAAAGACTGCTGACACTACTGTGAAAATCCTACATTAAAGATACGACACTGGACATCATTAGTTATTAATCATGAAAGTCACCCAATCTCGCTCAGGTGTGACATTTCGTAACTGTCCCGTGAGCTGTCCTATGTTCTAGGGTGTTATGAGATGCCTTCCTTCCCCGCCTATATACTACACTGCAGTAAAAACTGGTTTGTATTCGTTCAATGAGATGAGTTAAGCATTGACATCACAGCACTTGGGGGGCATTCCCATGTGTACTTCGTCGTCTTCGGCAGCCAGCGCAGAGTTCCAATACTGATGGTACCGGTCTCAGTCTGGTCATATGTCCATCTTGCTTTTCCTCTGAGTAGTGAGCCAGCCAGACCCACTGGTTACACCCAGGTGCCTCATTCTCTCAAGGCCATAATAATCTTGTTTCTCTACTGATACCTTTGTTTGTTCCCAAAGGGCCTAGACCACATCTGCCTTGTCATGTATTAATTCACCATCCAGTGGTGCAGATCCAAACAATCTGTCTGCGTGATCATTACCCACTATGCCTGGAGAAAAAGATTTAATTAAAAGTATGCTCACTACCCATGACCTTCCCAGTAAAGCTTGCCACTCTGCTCGAAGCATCCCTGTCTTCACCTTTCAGAGCATGCTTTCAGAGTGTGTTACAATTATGACATGTGTATACATCTTGTTCTCTAGCAACTAAAGAGTTGCAGTTACCGTCTCCACCTCCATTCTCATGCTAGATAGTGTGATGTCGTATGCTAGGCTGTCTTGCACTAAAGATTTTCAACTGGCTTTTCGGTTTTGGTACGAACCCCCAGGCACTACTCTTTCCTCTCAACACCGAACCTGGGCGTGAATCAACTGTTGGACTTCCACCTCCGTAGCACCGGCTGGCCACTCTCTGCCCAATGTGATCATAACCCTACACAGGTCAGACTTTTCCTCTGGTACTCTGACTTACTCCTCTCTTCGCCTGAATGTTCTCCAGCATGCATACTTGTCTTATTGTGTCTTTTGCTTGAGCAATTCACAATTTTTCCGTTTACAGCCTCTGATCCTTGCCTGCAGCCAAAGCTTCATACAGAGGGTGTTTCCTGTCTGCAGCTACTCTGAGGTATGACTTAGCCTGCAGCACCTTTACTAAAGCAAGCCTATCGGCAATAGTCACGAATTCAAGGATAGGATGTGATGTATCGCACGCACTTAATCAGGGTGTATCTTGTATATCCTAGGATCACCCACAAAGCTTCATTTTGTATGCGCTCCAGTTTCTCTAGCTGACTCTTTGAGACAGTGAGTAACCCCAATCGTTCAATGGATGTGCTCGAAACAATTCTTCCAGACAAACTCATCAGTACAGTCTTCCTGTTCACTCATTTCTGTGAACAACTGTCGTTTAATTTGTGATGGCGCCTGTGTAGAAGGAAGAAGTACTGCAGGGGGAAGTGCCAAAGGTGTGGCGGTTTGTGAGTATCACAATTTGATACAAATCATTGATGGTTTTCTATTTCTACGGTTATTGGCGTGGCTTTCGATGGTGGCTGTACCTTTAGACCTAGACCAAACTACTAAACTAGCGACTACGGTGTCCGGAAATTTGCGATCTTTTGGCAATTTCCATTACCACGGAAACCGTTCGAAACTTGCTTCGGAAAAAGTCGGCTGGGGTTTCGGGATGGGTCCTAATCTCTCATGAAATTTTGCGATTGGTGTGATTTTCACCCACTCTAAATAGCTGAAAACAGCGGGAAGGAACCCGATTAACAGCGCATGTCTACGACAGCCGGATGTCCTCTGTTTTTCTGTTACATCAGTTTGATTGAAAATAGCGCTAAGTATTCAAGGAAATAGCGCTAAGTATTCAAGAAAATAGCGCTAAGTATTCAAGAAAATAGCGCTAAGTATTCAAGAAAATAGCGCTAAGTATTCAAGAAAATAGCGCTAAGTATTCAAGGTTGGCTTTAGGTTTTAACTGTTACTGGCCCTGGTAATGCTAGTGCTAGTTATAATTGAATTCTCCGTCCATTTTTACATTTATGTATAAAATTTCTTTCTGAACCGTGGCTAGGTAGATGTACAATGACATTTTTCAGGCAATCACTGGCTCAGACAGTGGCTGTGTCTCATTGGCTGCCATCTTGTCCAATGACAATCCAATGTAAACAAAGCCAAAAACGAAAGTTGCGCAGTTTGGTTGCGCAGAGAAAACCTCTTTTTTTCTGGGTCTGGGAGGCAAGTTTTAGCAGCTGCTTTCTTATTCATCTCATCTCCACAAAAACCTACATATCTCAGCTCAGAAATGACATACAAGCCTAAATGAGGTACCATTGGAAAGAGATTGTTTACAGCTATCTAACTGTGCTGGTTTTATTGGTGTAGGGGGCATTTTGAAAATTTGACTAAAGTTAAAGTACTAAAAAGTACCTAACTTGATATGTTCGATACATTTAAAGAATACACGCAAAAAAAATAGAATGTTCCTATACGTTGCGAATAACAGTTAATATCAATTGTATCCCCTCATAATCCAGAAATCGTATTTAGACAAGTGGATATTGTTTGGATTGAATAAATAACAGACCTTCCTCTTTTTCGACAACTGTATCGCCATGTTTGCAATCTTCAAAAAGGAATCAGAAAGACAGGATATCCAGAATTAATCCAGATTTTTGCTTGGTAAACTTTAAATGTATGCCCAATTGGGAAACAGACGAAACAAATTCTTTGCCCTAAATCAGGGCTATTCAACTGGTGGTCCGCAGGCCGAATCTGGTCCGCCGAGGCCTAAAAAGTAGCGCACGGATCATTGCCTGTTGTATTGTATTTCTGGGCTTTCTGTCCTGGGGCTCAGACTCTGAACTGCTAAGATCTATATTTTCAAAATTTGGGCCTCTGGTTTCACTCAGATGAATAGCCCTGTCCGAATCATTATCACCACAATGTGCTCTGTCGAAGAGCGTAGGCATTCACAATTCGCTGACTCTCGCTTCTTCTTCTTCTTCGATCCTTCTGTCAGAAAGCTTATACCAGGAGGCCATTAGCCTTTATGAAAGCTATCGTACAATCCATATCCTCTCGTGTACCATACCGTTTTGTCCCAATTGTGGTTTGGAACAGGCCAGATTGCGTCTCTGTTGTCAGCATACAGTTGACAGTGTTGGAGCACATGCTCAGCATTTTCGGGTGCCACGCTGCATGGAAACGTCTCCGTGTTTCCTACACCGACAAATTTGAACACATGTTGACGAAGTCTGTTGTGCCCAGTCCTTAGATTGAATATAATGCACTGTCCCTCTTAGAGAGGCGATGAAGCGAGTCTTGGGGAGAGAATCTAGTGTGTGTATCCAGCCACCTTTCTTAGATACTAGATTGTATTTATTAATGTTTTCGTCTCTTGGTGGGTTAAGTCGCTATTTGGTTGTAATATGTCACTGCTGCCTCTGGTCAATTTGTCCTCTATTTCATTACCTTCCAAGCCACAGTGACCTGGAATCCACTGCAGTACAGGTTGTACTACTAAAGAACCTAAGTGAATCAGCTGTTGCGTCAAGGTTAATAATTGCTTGTAGAGCTGACATAGCATCAGTCAGAAAGACCACTCTGCTATATTTGCTGTGCTGTTGTCCATTCAGGAAAGAACATGCCATCAGAAGTGCTTCTGCCTCTGCTCTGCAATTGGAGGAATATGAACCTGTTTGGTACAGCCTGGTTGATTTTTAAATCATCTTGGCATTCTATGTAAATTCCTCCTCCTCCTCCGTCTCTTACTGCTCTCTTAGATGAACCACCTGTACACTCTAATCCAACTCTGGTGTGGATAAAGTCTGTTCATCTCTCTTTCTGTAGTTGATTTCACATCAGCCCTGATCATTGATGATTTGGAGGAGATCCCTGTTACAGTGGTTCTGGCTGTTGGCAGGCTATTACTAATCCGGGGGAGGGGGGGGGGGACAGTCGTTGTAAGGTTTCAGTAGAACATTTGGTATTATGGGAGGGAGTTTGAGGACAGCGAGCTTGGCATTTGTGTTCTTAATAAAACGGTCTAGCCTTCTGAGGTGGTGGTATTTGGAGAGCTGGGTGAGAAGCTTTGTGTCTCACCTATCTTCCAGATCATGGAGACCAGTAATTGTTTCCATGTCTGATATGGGTGTGGAGTGCATGGCTCATGTCATAATACGGAGAGTATTATTTTGGATCCTTGAGACTTTCTGAAAATTTGATTTAGCTGCTGTGCCCCAAGCAGCTATTCCATATTTTAGTGTTGGCCTCACATAGCCTGTATAGGTCCTCTTGACCCAACTGAGGTTTGCCCCCTCCCCCCCCCCAGTCTGTTATAGCTAGCTTCCTCATCAGGTAGGTTCTCTTAAACCCTTGCTTTGTGTCTTGTCTATCTGTTTTCTCCACGTGAGTCTTGGGTCAAAGGTTACTACTAAATATGACGGTGATTCATCATGTTTCAGTGCCTGGTTGCCATATGTAAGCGAAACTTTCTGGGGTTTGGTAGAAAGACTTATAATGACGTGTGTGGTTTTGGTCCCATATACAGGCATGTACCAACTATTGGACCACTTCTCTAGAGTTTCGAGGGATTCTTGAAGCCTTGTCTGTGCTTTGCCAGTATCCTCCTCTGAACTCAGCGCCATAACATGCATAACATACATAACAGCTTGAAACAGAGGATTGATTTTATATTGTTAATGTAAACGAGGAAAAGAATTTGGGACAGAACTCCGCCTTGTGGCACTTCATGCTTCATTGTGACTGATCTGCTCCTTGAACCCTGTATCTTGGCTCTTGCAGATCGATTTTCAAGATATTTTACGATCCACCCAAGCATGTGATAGGATATTCCACTTTCAAGTAGCTTTTGTTTCAGTCAATTTTTCACACTTTGTCGAAGGCCTTTTCCATATCCACCCAGACTGCAATAGTTTTTTTTCCTCCTGGAATGCATCTTCAGTGTGTTGATCAATACATGTGATTTGGTCTTCAGTTGATCTACGACGTCAAAAACCGGCTTGTTCCTGCATTAGTTTGAAATTTTTATCTAGGAACCAGGTCAGTCGGTTGTTCAGTAATCTTTCAAATAGTTTGCACAGACAGCAGTAGTTATGTAGTGTGTTTGAGGTATCATTTGGCCTAAGCCGCCTTCTTTATCCTTAGTAAAAGATGGCGGCCAAATGTGCTTGGTTCTTCTGGCGGCTGTTCTTTATCCTTAATAAATATCGATCAGGCAGCCGCCCTCTTTATCCTTAGTAAATATTGATCAGGCGGCTGATGACAGCACGCATGACTGGTTTTCCCCGGCGGGGAAAGACATATGGTGCATAAATCGATATGTTGTCTCCATAGCAACGGATAACTCATTGTCGGTATGTGGGTATTTTTAGGCGGAGTGATTTAAGGAAGGTAAATCGATATTTCTTTAGTGTATTGTTGCATGGGTCGGAAAATCGATATTTGCAGGCGATTATTATCTTCATAGTTGCAGGTGACAGGTGGCGTTATATAAATGGCGACGTCAGGAACAATAGTTAGGCAAGCAGCAGGTGGGTGGGGCAGGGGACCCGGGGCGACAGGGCGACTAATAGGGTTGGTGTTGGTTTATGAGTTCTGTAATAGACAAAATTAGGAGTGGTTTGTTTTATATATATATATATATATATATATATATATATATATATATATATATATATATATATATATATATATATATATATGTTACAACAATTTATGAGATATGAAAATAAACGTATAGCGGCAGTGACAGGCGGCAGAGGGGAGGGAGGGGGCGTTTTAGGGTTTAGATAAAGAAACCTAGATAGGTGACTTGATGACCAAGGATATATGAGAAAGGACGGCTCGGGCGCCGGCATCATCATCTGTGTCATGGGAGCGAAGGTCGACCGCTCAGAGATGGTTTGAGCTGTAGTAAAAAGGAGAATGTACGACAGAATGTCTGGGCTGGGGGAAGGTATATGAAGTCGATAAGTTGTCTCCATTGTCCCCGGGGTGTCGTTTTGTCAGTATTTCAAGGGGACAGAAATGTTTTTAAGGAAGACAAATTGATATTTCTTTAGTGTATTGTTGCTTGGGCGGGCAAATCGGTACTTTGCAGGCGAATTATTATCTTCAAAGCCGTGGACGACAGGTGGCGCTTTACTTATCTGTGCGGCTTGTCATAGTGTGTTAGATGTTGGTACTTTAGGAGGGTTTAGGTTCTAGTAAAAATGAAAACTTTAGCAAAGTGGCGGCGTTTGTGATATATTATTGGATGTTGACAGCTCCTGAAGGGTTTGAGTTGAAGTAAAAAAAAAAGGGGGGGGGGGGAGGGAGGAATTTATGGCAAAACGGTAACCTTTGTGTTATAGCAGCGATTGCCGATCACTCAGGGAGGGTTTGTGTTGAAGTAAAAAGGGGAATCTAAGGCAAAACGGCGATCCTTGTAGCATAGCAGCGAATGCCGGCCGCTCATGGGAGGTTTGAGTTAAGGTAAAAAGGGGAATTTATGGTAAAATGGCGACCTTTATGTCATAGCAACGAATGCCAGCCGCTCAGGGATGGTCTGAACTGTAGTAAAAAGGAGAACGTTCAACAGAAGGTCGGGTGGCTTGTTATAGTGTTAGAGGTTGGTAGCTTAGGAAGGGTTTGTGGTGCAGTAAAAAGGAAAACGTTAGCAAAGTGGCGGCCGTTGTGATATATTAATGGAGGCTGGCTGCTCAGTGGTAGTTAAAGTAGTAGGGGGAAAAATAGCAAAAGGACGACCGGTGTATCAAAGTGTCGGGTTCTGGTCGTACAGATATGGTTAAGCTATAGTTAAAAAGGAGAACTTGTGTCAAATTGTTAGATATCACCGCTCATGGAGGGATTAAGTTGTAGGTCAGGGGCGGCGCTACCAGGCGATGAATGAGGGCTAGGGCAATTGTAGGTACCAAAAGGGCATTATATCTTTCTCGACGGACAGCTTAAAGCACTCACGAAAGGGTACATGTCTTTCAATAGTCTTGGCAAGGCGATAACTGAAGACGCCATATAACCCGATCACTAGCCTTCGGGCACAAGTCACCTGAGGTTTTTCTTCACAGGACACCGTAAGTCACGGAAGAGACAGAGCATATCTTTCACTGGTCTTGACAAGTCGTCACTGAAGGTTCTTATTAAGTAGCTAACTGTCCTTCTGACACAGCAAGTCACTCGATGGTTTTCTCTATGGGACACCACAAGTCACCCAAGAGACAGAACATGTCTTTCACTTGTATTGTCAAGTCAGTCGCCGACTGCTCTTAGTAAGTAGTGCACTGCCCGTGGGACCCAGCAATCATCCGATGTTTTTCTTGATGAGACATGTTAGGTCACTTAAGTCTTCCTCGTTGCTTCGGCGATGTCAGCGCCCTCGTTGTCGTCTTCCTTGTTGACTTCGCCGGGTTGTCGTCTTCGGCGTCGTCGTGGCCTTTAATGTCGTCTTCGTCGTCGATTGCCTAGCCCAAGTTTTTCACTAACTGTCCCAGATGTATCGGACACGAAGCGACTTTAGGAAAACATGAGACTCGTCGTCTTTGCAGTTGTCTTCCTCTTAATTTGCTCGTCTTCGGCGCGTCGTGGGACAGCAGA